ATTTGATTACGCATGATGTCATTACGTGCGTGCTCTGTAGAGATGTGCTAAAATGGGAGTAAAGGTTAATGTTTAAACCTTATTCAAATTATGGTATTTGCTAGTAATGATTTAGTAATTTTAAAATGATATTCTAGGAAATTGGGCGTAACATTCATTATATACAGGTGCTGCGAATATCAATTTCGGATAGATCCGTAACAATATCGGGCTTAAAATATTTGATTTCTGCGTATGTAAAGACCCTGAACAATACTAATGGAAGTCATATTTGAAAATAGCTACGTACGTAACAGAGGTCAAAAATTAGCAATTTGATTAGTATCCATTTTTTTATCCAATCAAATTGCAGAAAACTGCTAATGGCTCAAATATGACTTCCATTAGTATTGCTCGGGGTCATCGTATATAAGTACGTACGGGCATACGTAAATAAAAAGGTTTTTGGTTTGTTGTTTGCTCAATGTGCGTATTTATGAAGTTTCTATTTTTCCGAATGGAAATAGCTATGTAAAATCCGAAATTCACGATTTTGATTTGTTCGATCAATAATTTTGCACATCAAACCTAAGGGTTCGAAGGGTAAATCTCATTATAGTCAAATAACAATCATAGATTGGTAGTTCTCGATTAATGTACTACACGGAATAAACCCGTTCAAATCACCGTTACCTACAAATTAACAAACTATGTTGATGCTCTTATTAATAATCCAAAAGTATGTTGATGATCTTTTCCGTAGTTTTGGTGATACATTCTTATTACAGTATAGGAACGGTACAACCAATTAACCGGTGAACTATACGGAAAAAAATTTAACACGAACCAACTATACTTTGCGTGAAAAAAAAAAAATCAGGAACGTCATTTTACATCGTATATTATTAATGAAATAAATTCATATTATGAATGAAATTTATCCAAGCTTTATATCAATGACTCATTCTATATACTTTTTATCCGAAAAATTATAAAAGACCGAGATTTCGAACTATGTAGACTTTAGAGAATTTTCAAATTGTAAATTACCTTGTAGATTCTTTTTTCCACTTAATCTTTGACTGTAAATTTTCTTCAATTAATTTTACTCGTTTAATTTTTACAAAATAAATTACTATTAAAAATAATTTAATAGCATAGAATAGCATACAAAGCGTACAAAAAGTATACATAGCATATATACATAATAATTAGAAATTACGAAAAACAAAAATGCTACAAAACCAATCCACATCACATGATGAAGTAGACCTTGAACGTCAAGCAACATTAGTGTCAGATGCAACCGTTACCATAAAAACTATAAACAATGTCGATGATCAGATTGTTAAAAACAATAGCCCATCATCGCCTAATGGTACTTTACTAGTTGGAGTTGAATTATTTTTAGTTGTTTTTGGGTTCGTAACGATTAATTCCCTGTTGTTCTCACTATATGATCATTTATTAATAGTTATTAATTTAGTTTTACCTATCATATTATAGTCTAGCATGTGCTGTATTTTTAGCTGCTTTAGATCAAACAATTATTTCCACCGCTTTACCTAAAATAGTTTCAGATTTTAATGGATTGGATCAAATCGCATGGGTTGCAACTTCTTATCTACTCACAACGGTAATAATATTATACATTGATTCCATTTTGTTCGATTTATATCTCATGTGATACTCACGTGAATCATGTTATCGACACAGACTTCTTTTCAACCAATATATGGAAAATTATCTGATATTTTTGGTCGTAAAGCAACATTCTTAGTTGCAATTGCCTTCTTTGAATTAGGCAGTTTGTTATGTGGTGTTGCCAACAACATGGTAATTAACTAAACTTACTAAACTTTTTTTTTATCTTTTATTTTCTCAATTCTTAATTTGAATACTTATCACCTTTTTATTTTTTAGGTTTCATTGATAATATACCGTGCAATCGCTGGTATCGGAGGTGGTGGTATCATTGGGTACGTACTTCATTATTGTATAGATTTATATCAATTATTATGCATGCTCAATGTATAGATTTATATCAATTATTATGCATGCTCAATGTATAGATTTATATCAAATTTTTATGCATGCTAAATCTTATTTTATTTTTTCTTTTTTAGTCTCGTCTTAATTATTATTTCAGATATTGTTAGCTCTAAAGATCGGGGAAAATATCAGGGTATTGTTGGCGCATGCTTTGGTATTGCTTCCGTAGCAGGTCCTCTCATGGGTGGTGCTTTTACTGATCATGTTACTTGGAGGTACGGTGCAAAAAACTCTAATCATATTATTATCGTTTTATATTATAATCAACTGTAAACTCATCACCAAAATTTATTTTTCTAAAAAAAAACAGATGGTGTTTCTTCATTAATCTTCCTTTAGGTGCAATAACAGTAATCGTTGTAGTTTGGTTTCTTCACTTACCAAAACCAACCGGTTCATTACTTGATAAAATTAAGAGAATTGATTTTATCGGCACCATTGTAATGATATTATCAACTGTTTGTATCTTATTATCTCTCAATTGGGGTGGCAGTACTTATCCTTGGAATAGTCCCATGATTATAATACTTCTATGTGTCGGCGTAGTCGGTTTCATAATATTCGGTCTTGTTGAATGTTACATTGTTACTGAACCCGTTGCTCCACGTAAATATTCATGATTTGATTTATATTTGCAAGAATTATTATGATAATTAATCTATTATATTATTGTTACTAAAAATTTTTTTTTATTTTTGTTTATAGCACATTTATTTAAAAACCTTAATATAGTCTCATGTTTCGTCACAAGCTTTTTCCTAGGAATGGTATTCTTTAGTAATATTTTTTATGCACCACTTTACTTCCAAGTTGTAAAAAATGATTCAGGCAAGTATATCTATCAACTAAATCTCACATTCCCTCGCTAAACATATAAATAAATTTAACAATCTATATGTTTCTTTTTTTAAAAAAAAAACAGCTACACAATCCGGATTAGATTTCATGCCTTACATTCTTGGTGTAGTTGCTTTCGCAATTCTAAGCGGTCAACTATTCTCTCGAACAGATAAAATATCGTTTCGATTAGTGACATTAATTTCTTCGTCATTGACAATAATCGGTGCCGGATTAACCACTATGTGGAAGGAAAATACCGGATATGGCGAATTTATAGGATACATGTTAATTGGTGGTATTGGAATTGGTGCAAACATTCAATCTATTTTATTATGCGGTCAAGGATTGGTTGAACCGAAGGATATAGCTACGGTTACTACATTAATATTATTCTTTAGGAGCAGTAAGTATTCAAAAAAAAAAAAGTTAATTTTTTTTTAACAAAATTATTAAATTATTTTACTAATTCATTGACTATATTTTTCTCTCTAGTTGGAGCTATTTTTGGAACTGCAATTTCAGGAACAGCATTTAATAATAGACTTTCTCGAGAATTAAGTACTTTAACCTTACCTCCATCCTTTTCAACACAATCTGTATATACTATACAATTATTACCACCAGATACACAGAAATTGGTCATTCACGCTTATGTGTTGGCATTTCAATTCACATTTGCGCTTACCATACTATATTGTGGGTTAATGTTTATTTCAGCGTTGTTTATGGGAAATAGTAAACCAGTACATAAGAGGAATGAAGAAAAAGTCGCTGTATTTGAATAATTTAATTATTTAACAAAAATATTAGTTAATATGTAAAAAAATAAAATAAAATAAACTTAATAAAGAAAATCATATGTAATTAAAAATTTTTATCATCACTTTTTTTCATTTCTTTTTCTTCTATCCTTCCTATCCTATCCTTCCTATCCTATCCTAACGCCAATTTTATAAGATCACTTGGCATCATGTGCGTGTCCGTCCGAAGAATCAAGAACGTAACCAACAAACCAAATATTATTAAATCATCGTTACTTAAAAATATTTACAGTCTTGATTCAAATTTACTTCTTAATATTGAGGACGTCTAAAGCGAAGGCACTCATATTTCTTAATAATTTTCTCGATTAACTTTGATCCGATATTAGGGTTATGCTAGGTTTTAGGTAGTTATATATAAGTAAAATTGCCTTCCCGACATTTTTGATTAACCTTCCCGAGATAGATTTTGACTGCCGTTTTTGTATTTTTGGGGTTTGGTTTTTATTTTTTGTTTTGCTTCATCAAAATTCTATAATTTGATTGGCGATTGATCACATGATTTGCCTCCTATTATGATAATATCTGGTATTTATATTTCCTCAGAATTCTGATTAAAATCATTTTATATATAAATATAAATAATATATCGCTATCAATATACAATAATTTCCAAAAAGGGTCGATTTAAAGTAACCGGATCGATCACAACCTAAAATTAAGGTACTAGAAAGAAAGCGTGCAAGATTTATCCTATTTTCAGTAGTTATTACCAGGTTGTCTTTTAATAAAATCAATTACTTTTTTTATCACGATATACCCTTTCTAAAATATCCGAATGATGTGCTAAACATCTGAAATATGTCATCGGTGAAATTCTGCAATTAGATCCGTTAGTACAGGTCGATTTACAAACTTTACTACACTAACCCAGCATTATATGTATATACATATTAGGGTTAGAAATTATAGCTTATTAATATCGTTATGGTATAGTTTTTTTTTTAAAAAATTGGCCTGTACTATATGGATCTATACCATACCGATCCGCTATAATTTCATTGGAGTTGATAAAAGTCAACGGATCAAAAAAGGTGCCAAGTAGAAGTAATGTGCTTGTGAAAATAGCAACGGGAGCAGGACCAATCCTGTATAATTAAGATTGCATGGGGAGCATGCAATAATTTTATCTTAATAATGGATACTGTGAGAAAAACGCTAATTCAGCCCTAGTGACTTCAATTCGAATTTAAATATCACATGGGCATTTTATCTTGATTAGACAAATTTTGCAGTATTTATTAATATATGATTTTATTTTGCACTACTATTTTTTTTATATTTTGCGCACTATTTTTTTTATTTTTGCAATAATATAATATATTTTATTTGCGAATAAAATAATTGTTTTTAAATATTGCAAATAAAATTATTTAATTAGTTGCAGTGTGCAATAAATAAAATTTTGAATTCAGACACTGTGTAGAACTCTACAATTGAAAACAATCAAAATCCTTTTTATATTAGTATAATAATTTATTTTTCAGAATTCATTATTTTG